GATGTGGCTCAAGCGGTAGCGCGCTCGTCTGGCATGCGTGCGGCCCGGGTTCGATCCTCAGCACCACATACAAACAAAGATGTTGTGTCCGCTGAAAACTAAAAAATAAATATTTAAACAATTCTCTCAAAGAGTTAATGCTGCCTGGAGCAGAGTTCCTTCCTCTTTGGGGAACTTTAACTTATGGAATGAAGTCCACCCACATTATGGAAGGTCATCTGCTTTACTCAAAGTCCAATGATTTCAATGCTAATTACACCTTTAAAAAAAACACCCTCATATCAACATATAGAGCAGGGTCTGACCAAATGACTGAGCACCGAAGCCCAGCCACACTGACACATCCAATTAACCATCACAGGCGTCTTAGATGAGTGTCTTTCAAAGTGTACAACACAGTCTGCTGTGCATGGGATGATTCTAAGTTGGACAATGCGGTGCGTCGAATCATACCAATCCCAGAGTGATTCTTTCCCATTCATTTGTTACTTTAGGAAGAAAGACTCGGTTGGATATGAGCCCCTGACCCTTGTCTAACACTTACTATTTGGAATAAAAGAAAGCGGGAGCAGAATTCAGCCAGAAATGAATTACACTCCTCTGCGTTTGCTGGACTCACTTTTCCATCAACTTTCTATTTTGGACCATGGACTGATTTGCTTCCATTTGTGATAGTGACATCATCTTCCTTTTTTTAGATAGATGTATTTACATAAAACAAAATGAGCCTCTTTCACTTTAATTAAAGAATTATTTAAGAGGAGGGGAGAGTGTTCTGGAAAGAGCAAATAGTCCATGCACAGTGTCGGAGAGCGTGACCCGTTCTTGTGTCTGCAAATATCATTGGCTCCAACCTAGGCCTGGGAGCCGGGCACAGGGGCTTCCCCTCCTTGCGTTCCACAAGCACAGGAGCAATGGCCCCGACAGCCGCTGAGCTTGACTCAGCACCCAGGTCCGGTGAGCCCCTGGCAGCCACGTGATGAGCACACGCTCTCCTCTCTGCCTGACATGTGACCCGGAGGTCCCCTGGGGCCCTTCAGTTAAGGAAGGACCCCAACGATCAGAGTCTCTGCAGAGATTTCCAGACACAGCTTCTCTGCGGGTGTTGCCTGCCTGGAGGATGTGACGTCTTGCTTCTGTCCACAGGTGACCTGGTGTCCCGCGCCATGCATCACCTGCAGCCCCTCAACGCCAAGCACCACGGCAACGGCACCCCCCTACACCACAAGCAGGGGGCGCTGTACTGGGAGCCCGAGGCGCTGTACACGCTTTGCTACTTCATGCACTGCCCGCAGATGGAGTGGGAGAACCCCAACGTGGAGCCCTCCAAGGTCAACCTGCAGGTGGAAAGGTAAGCCTCGCCTGTCTCCGGTGGCCACAGAGGAGCTCCCCCGTCACCTCAGCCTGCCACTCTGGGGAGCAGTGAGGGTCCATGAGGGGAGGGATCCTGGGGTCAGAACCTGCCCCTTCCCAAAACTTGTCGCGGGATCCCGATGGAAACCTGGTGTCCTGCGGGGACAGCCCAGAGCCAGGGTTCTCCAGACTGAGTCTTTACGGGGCTCGTCCTGTTGAGGTAAAATGGCTTTGGTCCTGGAGTGGGCCCGAAAATCCAGGGGAAGGGCCTCTGGGCGCAGCCAGCTTCCTGTGGGTGAAGTCGTCTCCATCCTCCTTCCCGATGGCCTCCCTGGGTCCACGGGGAACCAGAAGCACTGGCTCAGCCAGAGGGGCTTCCCAGGGGGCAGGAGGCTGGGCCACCCGAGGGAGGACAGTCTGGGAGAGGCCTGGCTGGGGCTGCCCCAGCTCTGCTTCTGTGGCTGAAGCAGGCCGCTCCCAAGGTTTCCCAGGACTCTCCTCTGACACGGGGCTTTAGGAAGAGCCCTAGGGGAGCTGCCTCCTTTACAGGGGGTTCAGGATCCTCCCTCCACAGTGGCTCACCAACCAGGCCCCGCCTCCACCAGGCCCTGTTGGCTCTGAGAACCACGGGAGTGACCCCCGTTTATCCAAGAGACGCCAGGAGGGAGACTCTGTGGCCCCACCGACTTCCTGGGCTCCAGTCAGCTCTTCTGATGAAAAGCTGAGGGTCCTGGGAAAGGGCCTCAAACGCTGTGCCTCAGTCATCTCTGTGCCTCCTCGTCTGCAAACCAGGACACAAAGAGCAAGTCCTTCCCGGGACTGTGGGAGATGAAATGAGCTGAACAGTGCCCGGTGCACGTAAGTGCCCAATAAATGCTGGCGTTTATTATTGCCGTGGCACTGCTATGCGCACGGCGCTGAGCGCCTCCCGGCATGGGCTCAGTACGATTTTCCTTTCTGTTAGTTCCTAAAGCTCCCTGGATCTCCAAAGCTCCGTGGATACTGTTTTTGCCAGAATAGACCAGGCTCCCTCCCCAAATCACACAGGTCTCTGGACTTTGAGTTAAGGGAAGGGGGTGGGGCATAGACCAGGTGGAGCTTGCTTCTTATTTTTGAAGAATCCCGAGTTGGCATCCATATGTCAACCCGCATGTCAATCTAGGGTGGAGCTAACGTATCAGGGGTTCTGCAGGCCACCTCAGGGGACATCCCGTGCATATTTTCATGTGCAAACATGCCCCGGTGAAATGCCCGGGGTCCCTGAGTAAATTTTTAAAAATCATCTGAGTTAGACACCAAAGCTCTGCTTGCCCTGACTGTGCGTCCCGAGCACCAGATGCATCAGCCCCTGCCCGCGACGGGATATAGTGTACCTTGTCTGGCTCACTTCCCCCAAGACACCCCAGACCCCCATCTCCCCACAGATGAGCTCCTCCATCTTCAGCCAGCCCCTGCCTCCCTTGAGCCTCCCCTTCCACTCAACCCTCCCCTCTGGGATCCACACTCTCTGCCTGCCTCTGCTCATAGCACCTTATTTTCTGCCTAGCACAGAAATTTTGAATTATATGTATTTCTGAGCTTCATGAGGGCAGACAACACCTCTGTCTGGGCCATCCGTCCACAGCCAAGGCCAAGCTCGGCACCTGGGGCAGAGAGGGAAGCAACAGACGTTTGTAGAATGAAGTGATGATCTTTGACTATTTCTTGAGTTTTTAAAACCTGTGAGATGCTCGTGGGTGGGACTTTTCTCCAGAAACTTTGTTGTGAAAGAAAGAAAGAAAGAAGGAAGGAAGGAAGGAAGGAAGGAAGGAAGGAAGGAAGGAAGGAAGGAAGGAAGGAAGGAAGGAAGGAAGGAAGGGAGGGAAGAAAATTTTGTAAGATTTATGATTATCTACATTCCAAATGTAAGGATAAACGATGGTAGGTTCCTATCTTAAATAGACTCACTTTAAGTCTCGAACAAGGTTTCCCTCCCCTTTTTCATGACTGGAAATATTATTTTAGGGACAGATGAGGCAGGGCACCCAAGACAGCAGGAGACAGTGTTGTTTGGCTGCAGCCAGGCTCAGGGGGCACAGCTTTTGCTGTAACCAATCAATCCCCTGAACCCCGAGTTCAGGGAGTTTCAGAGTTTTATACCCAGCATGTAAGGGGAGGGGCTCAGAAGCTCACAGTCTGCAGAAGTTCACATAAAAGCAGCTTTTTCTTTCACTGTTCTGGGCAAGTTAACCCTTCAAGGACAGCACCTGAGAAGGGGGGAGCTTCTTCTCCACTTTCTTTCCTCCCCCTCCAGCTGTTACCATGGAGCCCAGTTGTAACTTATCTTAAAAATGTAGACATCTCTGTGAAGCCCAGCTCAAGGCCAGAGGCCTTGTTTGCACAGTTCTTCAAAGTACTATACTGGATACATGTTTGTGATAAACTAGTAAGGGGGTGTCCAGCTCCTGGAGGGCTGGTGTCTTCTCGGCCCGTGGCCAAGTAAACAGGGCGACAGGAAAATAGGAAGTTTATCTACAGTGGACTCTTTTGCTGACAGTCCTAAAATCAGCCCTGGTGAAGATTTCTGGAGAGGCCCAGTGAAGACTTTTCAGTGGAGAAAGGGGGTGCCACTTCAGTATCAGTGATTCTTGGATGTCTTCGGCCATGGATGATTTCAGTAACTTGTTGCCACATGTGATAAAATAGTAGGATTAATAGGAATAGGAGTGTTTCATCGCCCTAGGTACCTTGATCTGTCTGGGAGGAGGAAAGAGGAGCTTCACTTAGAAGACTAGACAAATAGGGAGTTCCAAGCACCCCCAGTCTTCCTGCAACAAAGCAGAATTTATACCCACGCCGGAACTGCTCTCAGCCCTTTGGCAAGCAAGTTGTACCAACAGATGTGGCAAAACGCCTGCCAGAGGAATCTCAGCCACAAACACAAGTGCGTGATGATCAGTCACCAACTGTTTAAGAAAATGAATGCTGCGAAACAAAAGGGCCTTAACAAATGGAAGAATTTACACTTGAAGAAACTGAGCTCCTAACCCCAGAGGAACAGAACATTAGGAGCTCATGGCACCCAAATACCTCTTGCAGGCTACTTTCTGTATTAAAAGATCACCCCAGACCATCACTTCTCAACGTTTCTTCATTTGTGACCTGTGACAAATGAGATCCAAATTTCAACATAGTCCCGTGGACATAAGCAGGGTTATTCAGAACATCCGAATGCTACTTGTAGCTCCGCTCCACTCCTTTCCCCTAAGGAACGCACATCAGCATGCAGGGGAGGGCACGTGTCCTTGGTACCAACAGCACTGCCACTTAGGATGTTAGTTGCAAAAGCTGACCTGCTGTGGCAGCTTAAGCAGAGGGAAACCTCAGGGAGGCTGGGCGTGGGCAGCAGGTTAACAGACCCTTTTGCTTCTGCATGAGAATGTGACCTTGGGTTAATTCTCCAGCTCTGTTCCCCTGGAAACCTGATAAAAATTGCGGTTTCCAGGCAACATTGCTTGCAGGTAGAACGAGCCCAGATTGGTCAATTGTATCTGACCTGGTAGTACTAGAAATACTTGATAAAGATCCAGAGCTTTGGGCTTCTCTGAATTCACTGGCTCTTGTAACCGGCCGACCTTGAAAGATAATTTTACAGAGTTGTAAAAAGAGATATTGGGAGTTGTAAAGCAGGACAGCTCCACAGCTACCCAAAGGGATCTCATCTCCTTACAACCTGGGGGTCCCCTGGGCTGAGAGATTTCCTCCTGTAGAGAGTGACCAGCTCAGAGAGGGCTTTGGGCGGTGGGGACAGACCAGACCTCCGAAGAGGCATAAAGAGGCAGTGCAGGGCACAGAGTGCTGGATGAGCAACTACTATGTGCCTCTTACATCCTGTGTGAGGCGCTTTGCATTCCGTGTAGCTGAATCCTCGCCTTGGCCTTGTGAGCTAGGAACATCCTTATCCACTGGTGAGGAAATTAAATCTTTGACCCTACCCTGCTACTTAATAGAAAAATTCTATTGGGAAGCTAAGGGTCTGGGTAGCACATTAATATATCTCTGTATTTTTTAAGTTGATGAAGATAATTCTATTTACCAAATGTAATATGTATATCAATACATCTATACATCAGTTAGACAGGAGGAATAAATTTGGGATTTTACTTTAATATTCCGGAGCCAAAATACATGGGTCAGTACCCTGGTTCCAATACTCATTAGCTGTGTGACCTTCAATAGGTTACTTAACTACTCTGAGACTCACTTTCCTTATCCTACAAGAGGAGAAATCTTCTTCAGAGAGCTTTTAAGACACTATTACGGGGCTGGGGATGTGGCTCAAGCGGTAGCGCGCTCGCCTAGCATGCGTGCAGCCGGGGTTCGATCCTCAGCACCACATACCAACAAAGATGTTGTGTCCGCTGAAAACTAAAAAAATAAAATTAAATTAAAAAAGACACTATTACGGGTTCAGGTAGTTAAAGTTCTAAAACTCAGCACACATTAGGCTGTTTTAAATAATGGCTATTATTATTCTCACTGCTGTGGCGTTTATCACCTGGAGGTATATGATCTCTCAGACTTGAAGGATTTGGATCTTGTTAACAAGTAGATTCTACTCTTTAGTCCTCAGGGTGGGGCCTGAGAGGCTTTGTTTCTAACAAGCTCCAGGTGCGGCGGCCAGTCCAGGGACACTCTGCTCTAGTCTTTGTGTCAGTCTTATCTTCACTTCAACCTACACTAGCTTCCAAATTTAAGTTGCATGAAAGCAAAAGGTAAGCCTATGACTTTGGTCACCTGGTAGCACTTCACCCGTCCTAGGTGCCGAGTAAATATTTCCTGGGGTTCAGGGGCTGGACTGAGCCTTGCAGGCCCTCCAGAGGCCAGGCGTGGCCAGCCTACAGCGCTCAGGGGGCTCTGGAGCAACTGCCACCCAGGGCCAGCTCGGAGCCTACAAGGAGCCAGACAAGAAAGCCCAGCTCCTCTTCCAGGACTCAGGATGGCAAATTAGTGACAAGC